AAAATTATTTAAAGTTCAAATGTAGTGTCTCCTTCTTGATCAAGCCTTCCAAGTCACTCCAAATCATGAGCACTGCTGTCTTTTAAAACTTATCATACATACCTTTCAGTTGTTACTTACTCTGAAACCTGTATCAATTATGTTTTCCTAGTTTATTACCTTAAAGGTATTATATAAATACAATGAGAGCAAACCTTATATCCTCTTCTTTTCTCCCCTATGGAACTAAACATATACTATAAATTCATTAAATATTATTAATTGCTCATTAACACATGACATGATATGTAGGAGTGACCAAGTTCTTCATGAAGGAAAAGGATTTCTGGAATAAATGTTTACACTAGTGACCTAATAATGAAGTAAAGCATAGAAGGGGTTTCTCTCTCTCTATCTCTCAGCTATTAAAGTGTAATTACGGCATCTTACATTGCAAATTGAATTTTTAAAACTTCCTTATTATCTTTAAACCCAGGAAGGAAAAACCTTGCTCTGTGCTGAGAGCTTGAGATGGTCCTATTTGCTCCTCTTCATGAAACTATGGCTTCTAGGGATAAGACAATATTCCGTTTAGATCCTATGCTTTCTTTTTATACCATACCATAAGTATTCAAGACTGCAGCATTCCTTGCTCAAATAGCCTCAAGTCTATTTTAGGAGCTTCATGGCTTCTTGCTGGGATTTATTCTCCAACGGGTATATCATGTCACTGGTCTGCTCAGCCTAAGTTAACTGGAGGACCAAAGTTGGCAGCTTTTGAATCAAGGGAAAGACACAGCTTGTGCTTGAGATGCTTTTATAGGTACATATGTGAAGTCCTTCGTGGTATGGAATAGAGTTAGATTCAAGTAAGAGAAGAGAAATGGAAGTGACTAAGGTTAGGGACTGGCTTTCCAAGGACCACCAAATGCTGCCATGGATTTCTAAGGAGTGTAAGTATTTTAAATATGAGCCTGGCATTTCAGGTAGTTATGTAAGTATCTTTACAAAGTAGGTGAATAAAATATATTTTAAGGTTGACATTATTTAAATAATAGAAATGGAGGTCATGATCTTAAGTGAAGCAACCAGACACAGATAGACAAATACTGCATGTTCTCACTTATAAGTGGGAGCAAAATAATATGTACACATGAACAAAAAGTATACAGTGGATACTGAGAATGATAGGGAGTGGATGATGAGAAATTGCAATGGATACAATGTATGTTATTGCGGTGATGGATACCCTAAAAGTCTTGGCTTCACCGCTGTACAATCTATCCATGTAACAACACTTCTACCTTATAAATTTATTAAAATGTATTAAAAAGATTTATCATTTTAGAATATTTAGGCATATGATATGTGGGCACCTATACTCACATTCTTGCTTTGGGCTTCCCAATTTTTAGAGACTCTATTTATTTTAATACTTGAAAATTATGTCTAAAAGTTTATATTACTATAAAACAACAAATATAGCTATATTTGACCCTTTGAACAACATGGAGATAGGGGATACCAACCCTCTGTGCTGTTGAAAATCTGTGTATAACATTTAACCAAATGATTAACTAGTAATATCCTCCTATTGACCAGAAACCTTACTGGTAGCCTTACTGGTAGCATGTTGATTAACACATATTTTGTATGTTATGTGTGTTATATACTAGATTCTTGTAATACAGTAAACTAGAGAAAAGAAAATGTTAATACAATCATAAGGAAGAGAATATATATTTACTACTCATTAAGTGGAAGTGAATTATCATAAAGGTCTTCATCTTCATTATTTGCACATTGAGTAAGCCAAAGAGGAGAAAGAAGAGCGTAGCCAGAGGCAGAAAACAATATGTGTATAAGTGGAATCACACAGTTCAAATCCTTGCTGTTCAAGAGTCAACTGTACATACAAATGCAGTATTTCCAAAATAAAATGCCTAAAAGGTTATATAATTTCTACATCTAATAGTGCTCTACTTTATGGTAAATTTGATACCCTTTTAGATCAATGTCAATCTTGAATATACAGTCTTCTTCCAGGGAATTGGATTCAAATTTATGTGTCTATATAAGTTATATATTCTTGGATAAGATGAAATTCACCACTTGGTCTGTTTTGACTCTTTTGGTACTCAATTCTAATTCTGACTTGCATTGAAATAAAATAAAAAACATTATTTTTTAATCAAACATCACGGGGTTTTTTTGTTTTGTTTTTTTTGAGTTGGAGTCTCACTCCGTCGCCCAGACTAGAGTGCAGTGGCTGCTCCAGCCACCCCAGCCTCGACCTGCTGGGCTCCGGTGATCCTTCTGTCTCAGCCTTCCAAGTAGCTGGAACTATAGGCGTGCGCTACCACACCTGGCTAATTTTTGATTTATGGTAGAGATAAGGTCTCGCCAAATTGCCCAGGTGGGTCTCGAACCTGCAGGCTCAGGCAATCCACTCACCTCAGCCCCCCAAAGGTGCAGGATTACAGGCTGAGCCGCCGAACCTGGCTTAAACATCACGATTTTAACATAAAATGATGCACCATTTTGTTAGGTAACCTTATGCACTACCTTTGGGGAGAAACATTTCTCATTATCTGAGTATATTTTGATACTTCCTTATTCCTTGGTTTATATCAGTCCTGATTCAGTGAATACATATTATATTCTTTTCACTCCTGACCCTTCTATCTATCTAAATATCTCCAACCCAAAATATTTTAAGCAATAATATCATAAATCATGTTTTCCAAACAAGAGACCATTTTTCACATTTTAAATTGATATCATATTCTAAGAGTTGATTGTTTAATGAGCATAGTTAATACCTTTTACTAATATGAAGAGGCATAGTCAGAAGATACACAAGTGTAATTATTCAAACATAATTTACTGGGAATATAGTTCTGTACTCCAGTATGGGAAAGTAGAGATATAATGGAGACAGTAATAATTTTGTACATGCAGTCTCTGAGAAGCAAAATCAGATCTGATTGGAAATGTATTCAAAACAAGAATTATCATTGGATGAGCACTTTAGATGCTCTCCTATGAGTAAAATGCTTAGAGTTTTAGACACTTATTTTGACAATTCTCAGATTTTTAAAATTGCATTATATCTTTTTTATTATTATCTCAGTTCACAGTAATATTTAGAATGATTATTTTGCAGTTTAAATGAGCTATGATAGCGCTGGTTTACCTTTAAATGTAAGCGTCCTAAGACTAACATAAGACCTATGATACATTAGAATGCATTGTATTTAGATGGATAATGTCATATATGTTCCCATCAGATTATTGACTCACCCCTGATAAAACAATATGTGTATTTTATAAAATTATATACACAGTTCAAATAAACTCATTGTTTTTTCTGGAAAAATGCCCTCTGAATTTCAAAGAAGTGACTTACAAAAAAAAATTTAGATAGAGTTTGTGTTTAGGTTTGTATGATGGATAATATAAATTATTTGTAGAAATTTACAGTAGATAATTAAAAGTACTGAGTGTCATAATAGTACTACATACTCAGGAGTCACCATTCTGTTAGAAACTATACTAATTAAATTCAACCAACCTTGATTAAATAACTCTCCACAACCAATTAAGATGAGAAACTGCAAACAGAATGTGTTAAGTAATCTTATTATGAATCACTGAAGTATATAGTATCAAGAAATAGAACACTTATTCACTGTAGTAAACCATTTATCATTTTCAGTATACTCTCAGTGAAATGATGAATTATGATGACTAGCATGTTTTTTCAAAAAGTCTAGAAGGTTACCAGAATATTTTTACATTTACTGAAAATTTTCAGTTACAACTATACAAATAAAATACAATTACAATGTAAATTTATAATATAGAACTATGCAATATTAAGTGCATAAATATTGGTAATATTAACTGAGTTCAAGGTAATCAAAATTTTTATTAAATTTATTGTAGAAAGGATAAACAAAATCTTTCTATGCAATCGATTGTCAAACTCCTTGTTTGTAAACATGCAGAAGTAAAGATAATCTAGTGACCTAGTTCAGACCAAAAGCCAAAGTGTGTACATGTTTATAAAATTGTTTCGGCCCCCTCTGACTTCCTGTCACTAATAAATAAACCTAGTGTGCTTCAAGTGCTGACTCATGTTTTTCCTCAAATATACCTGTACACTCTGCCTCAGGTTTTTGTACTTAGAGCCTTTTTTTTTTGCAAGGTTTACTTTCCCGTTCGAAGCCATTACTGAAATGTCACTCCCTCAGTAAGGCCATCCTAGCCACTCTATTTCTTCTTCCTCTCCCTGTTTCATTTTTCCCTATTGTATTTTTCCCCATATTATTCAGTTTACTCATTAATATTTTTATTGTCTTTCCTTCTTCTAAGGCAATTTCCCTGAAGGCAGGGAGTTTTTGTTCAGCTAGTTAACTGCTGTATTCCCAGTGTCCAAAATAGTGCCTGATAAATATTTCTTAAATAAGTCTAAGGCCTTATTATAAGTCTAAGATCTATTTTCTATTAAAATAGTCATGCAAATATTTAATTGGATATTGGTAAATGCCTCAATTTGTGGCACATTGTATATGAGGACAGATGGGAAAACCAAGGGGCATTTGTCATGGGTCTAGTTGTTTTGAACAGATAACGGTTGCTATTTAATGTTCTTAATGCATGCCAGGAACTATTTACGTGCTTTCCTTATATGTAACTAATTTATGTCTTACAACAACCCTATGAAACATGTACTATTATTAGTTCCGTTTTACAGTTGTGGAAACTAAAGATTAAAGTTCCCCTTGGCCTTGCAATTAATATGTAGGAAGGCAAACAGAGAGCAGTTGACTGCAGAACTCATACTTTTAACCAAACTCTCATAGTTAAAGTGCTGCTGCCTTGTTGCTTTTGAATAGATTCATTTGTATGCATTTTATTAATTTTTCTTTCGCTAAAACAGCACGTGTGTAAGCCGCCAGTTCTTTTAATCACTGTGGTTTTATAATCATTTAGTTCTTTTTTTTCCTTTTTTGTAGTGGGATGCCATCACCGAAATGGATGAACACAACAGACCCATTCACACCTACCAGGTATGCAATGTAATGGAGCCAAACCAGAACAACTGGCTTCGCACAAACTGGATCTCCCGTGACGCCGCTCAGAAAATTTATGTGGAAATGAAGTTCACACTGCGGGATTGTAACAGCATCCCGTGGGTCTTGGGGACTTGCAAGGAAACATTTAATCTGTTCTATATGGAATCCGATGAATCCCATGGAATTAAATTCAAGCCAAGCCTGTATACAAAGATCGACACCATTGCTGCGGATGAGAGTTTTACCCAGATGGACTTGGGTGACCGCATCCTCAAACTCAACACTGAAATCCGTGAGGTGGGGCCGATAGAAAGGAAAGGCTTTTTTCTGGCTTTTCAAGACATTGGAGCATGCATCGCCTTGGTCTCTGTCCGTGTTTTCTACAAGAAGTGCCCCTTCACTGTTCGTAACTTAGCCATGTTTCCTGATACCATCCCAAGGGTGGATTCTTCCTCTCTGGTTGAAGTACGAGGCTCTTGTGTGAAGAGTGCTGAGGAACGTGACACTCCAAAACTGTATTGCGGAGCTGATGGAGACTGGCTGGTTCCTCTTGGAAGGTGCATCTGCAGTACAGGATACGAAGAAATCGAGGGCTCTTGCCATGGTAAGAAGCGAATAGTTCAGTAATTTATCTTGCGTTTAAACGATGATTTTTTAAAATTTTATTTTTACTGGAGAAATATAATCATTGTACACACTCATGGGGTACCTAATGATGTTTCAAGACATAAAGCGTATAGGGACCTGAACAGAGTAATTAGCATATCTATCATCTGAAACGTATATGATTTCAAAATGATGATTTATTGAAAGTTAAGGTTGTACACTTGTTTTCGAATAATACATTTTTGAATGCTATCCCTGACAATTATAAAAGAAATTGACTCATATTAACCGTAAGAAAATGGCTGATAAATAAAAAAAGGAAGGTGTATGAAAGTGTTCCATATTTCTTTTAGTAGTTAGGCAATATGAATCGATGTATTCGCCTAATTTTTATAAAGGAAAGCAACGTCAACAACAGCAACAAAAAGCAGTGGGATTCAAAGTGGAGATTTGCCTGACGTTCATGTTTTGGTGGTTTATAGAAACTATGACATTTAAAATGTTTAAAGTAATTCTGTCATAATTGAATTATAATAATTAAATTGTACTTAAGTGGAATTAATTTAAATAAATGAAGAATTCATGTTTGCTTTATTTCAGAAGCATATAGTTAGTTTATATGGGTGTTATGTGTTTGGTAGTTGAATATTAACTGTATCTCCTGAACTGATACTTTTCTATTGTTAAGCATAATTTTCCAAAGTAGAACACATTAGGTTTTTATTTTAATAGTAGTATTTGTGTAAGATCTATTGTCAGAAAATATTAACATCACACACCGAAGTTAAGCTTGGAACTGTACCTTTCACAGTGTTGTAACAATGAAATATCTATAATATTTAAGATGAAACATTTTTCATTTATGTGATTCATTAGATGAAGGCTTATTAAACTAATATATACATTTAAACAGTTTTGCATATACCCTGATAAAGAGGATCTGTTTGATTGTATTTGGATTTAGGACTCATAACCAAAACATAAATATAGAAATAAAATTATTTTTTAATAAATAGTAGCATATTAGAGATATTTCTCTCTCAATGGCAGCTTATTTAGAAGGTTTTTGCTAAGACACTAGTTGAATTTACTGACTTCTTTGTTGATGTTATATTCAAATTCATTAAGAAGAGTGAGAATAAATAAATAAGAAAAAGCATACATGTAAATGCATATAAGGGTCATAGATAATATATGTGAATTTTTAAAGGTTTTATCTATTTATAAAACACTTGGATTCCTGACTTTTGGAAAAGTTCACTAGAGCTGCCAGTGATGATTGTGTTTGATAACTAGAGAATATTCATATTTTCATGAGAAGTCTATAGTGTATATTTTATAAAACATGAATCTGCTATCCATCACTATTTAATCATTAAAGTATGTTGCATTCAGGTTTATTAATATAGTTTATCAATATAATTTTTCAAAGTTTTTATTCACCTATATAAAGGATTTATAATGGAGCAGAAATAAGCCATCATTGATCCTGGAGGGATCTAAAACTATTTTACATCGGAATGTTCACTAAAGAAAAATTTATACATATGACTAATTATCCACTGAGGTTGACAAGACAATGAGAGTTGAGGATAAACTATATTATACATAATAGCCATGTTGTTTTACCTCATTTTAAACTAAGTCGAAATTGACCATTACTTGGTTAAAAAATAAAGCTTTAAAAACATTTAAAAGTTGAATAACCTAAGGATTTATGTGATTAACTATTACTAAATATATATATTGTATGGCATTGACCACTAGATTCAAGTAATCAACTATGATGTTAGATTTTTGTTTATTTAGTATGTCTGTTGTGTGACAGTTTATTCTTATTTTTATGTCTTAAAAATTTCTTCAGTTGTTTGGCAAAGATGATTTTGGACAAATGAGAAACCGCATCAGTTTATCTAGAGTTTCTGCTTATCTATCTTTATGGCTTGTCATCTTTATTATTATCCTTTATCTGACTGCAGAAACACAAGGTAGTGGGCACAGTGCACATATTCATCCTCTAGTTGAGGATGGCAGGGATTGGAAGAATTAAGTTTGAGTTCTAGATCTGTAGCTTACTAACTTTGAAATCAGTATTCCTATCCATAAAGTCATGGTTATAATCAACTGAAGATAAAATCCCTGTAAAATTATGAAAAGCAAGTATGTATGCCTGATTCTAATTGAATACCATAAATTGCTATTTACAAGCAAAAATGAAGTCAGAATAGAAGTGGAGACCTAATTTTTAATGATATGTATCTTACACTACTACTGGTCTCTATTTTAGAGTATTTATTTACATCTGTGTTCTTGATGCTTCATACTATCCCTTTCTTTCCTCAGATAATAATGTATTCACCTAATTTTTATAAAGGAAAGCAACGTCAACAGCAGCAACAAAAAGCAGTGGGATTCAAAGTGGAGATTTGCCTGACGTTCATGTTTTGGTGGTTTATAGAAACTATGACATTTAAAATGTTTAAAGTAATTCTGTCATAATTAAATTATAATAATTAAATTTCATTTTTAAATTTTATTATAGAGGTGTGGGGTTCAAGTGAGGAATAACTGCATAAGTAGGCTGCATGCAGGGGAAATTGACTTCTAACTGGCCCTCACTCCCCCAGGCAGTGGACCAGGTACCCTTTGTGTTGTCACGTGGCCCTTACCCTTCTCCCTCTTCCCCTCCCCTGGCAGTGCGCAGTGACTCCCAGTCCCTCCCTTGTGCTAAGTGACTATTGTTCAGGGCCCACTTATGAGTCAGAACATGAAGTATTCAGTTATTTGTTTCTGTGATAGTTTACTTGGTATAATGGTCTCCAATTGCATCCAATTTGCTGCAAAGTCCATGATTTTTTTCTTCTTTATAGCTGTATAATACTCAGTCGTGTATATGTATCACATTTCCTTTATCCAGTCTACTTTTGATGGGCACTAGAGTTGGTTCCATGTTTTTGTTTTTTGGCAATAAACATGCGGGTGCAGGTGTCTTTTTTGTAGAATGATTTATATTTCTCCAGGTATATTTCCAGGAAGAGAGACTGCTGAATTGTGCTGATGGTCAATTTTTATTTCTTTTAGGAATTTCCACACTGGTTTTCATAATGGTTGAAATAGCTTGCACTCCCACCAACAGTGCAGAAGCTTTCCCTTTTCTTCATACTCATGCCAGCATCTGTTGTTTTTTGACTTATTAATGATAGCCATCCTTACTGGAGTTAGGTGGTATTGCATTGTAGTTTTGATTTGCATTTCTCTGATGATTAGTGAGGTTCAGCATTTTTTCATGTGTCTGTTGGTCGGTTGTATGTCATCTTTTAAGAAATGTCTTTTATTGTCCTTTACCTACTTTTTAATAGGGCTGTTTGTTTTCTTCCTTTCAGCTCGTCTAAGTTCCTGCTAGATCCTGGATGTTAGGCCTTTGGCAGATACATACTTAGCGAATATTTTTTTTCCATTCTGTGTGCTGTCTCCCCACTCTTTTGATGGTTTCTTTTGCTTTGCAGAAGCTTTTCACTTTGACGATGTCCCACTTGTCTATCTTAGCTTTTGTGACATTTGCTGTGGGTAACTCGGTCGAAAATTCATTGGCTACTTCCATGTGCATAAGAGTGTTTCCTTCATTTTCTTCTAGGTTTCTTCTAGTTTAAGGTTTTGTATAGCTCTTTGATCCATTTTGAGCTGAGTTTTGTGTATGGTGATAGGTAGAGGTCCAGTTTCATTCTTCTGCATGTGGTCCTTGTTGAAGACAAGTTGGTTGAGAGAACGTGTTTTTGTTTCTGGATCTTTGTCCTGTACCATTGGTGTACTTGCCTATTCTTGTATCAGGCTGCTTTAATTACTGTAGCCTTGTAATAAATTTTAAAGTCTGGAAGTATGGTTCCTCCTGCTTTGTTCTGTCTGCTAAGGATTGTTTTGGCTATCTGTGGTCGTTTTGTTTTAGTATGAATTTCTGTGTTTTCATTCCCAGATCTGAGAAAAATAATGCTAATTGGATGGAAAGTTATTTATAAGTGCAAGCTGGCTTTTGACAGGCTCCCTAGGGTTTTCAAAGTATGGAATCATATTATTCACGAGGGGATCATTTAACTTCCTCTTTTCCTATTTGTGATAATTTTTATCATTGCTTTTATTGCCATCTATCAACAACTTATCTCATAACCACATCTCCAAATTACATATAGTCTAAAGGTCAAATTAATTTGAATTTATATGAATAAACCAGAGTTCAAGTAGTAATGTGACCACATATATAATGGAAAAGAAAAAAAAAATAATGTCTGCATGCTGTGTTCTTTTCTTATGGTCTGTTCTGCTAAAATAATTAATTTAAATAATATTTTTGAACAGTTACTATTTCTTAGTCACTTTTTTAGGTGGCAGAGATAAATATAAATAAAGCATATGTTTCAGTTATCCATTGCTATGAGACAAAACAACCCAAAATGTATTGACTTAAAACCACAATAACTTATTATTTCTTAGGCCTCAGCTAGGTAATTCTTCTGCTTAATGTAGAATAAACAGAGGTCACTCATGAAGTTGGATTCTAGTGGGAGCTCGACTAGAATTGGGATGTCCAAGATGGCTTCTAATCTTCCAACGCCTTTCTCTATGTGGCTTCTCATCATTTAAGAATCTAGCCCAAGCTTGCTACAGTACAATAGCTGAATTAAGAGGGTTTTTTTTTTAATATAACCAATTATAAAATGAAATATATGAGGGGAGTAAACAGGGGGTGAATACCTGAAACTATATTTGTAGGAGGCTGCCACTGTGGCAATATACCATAGTCCCCTCTCTGGACTCTTGTCGGAGTTGAAAATAACATAATTGAAATCAGTTCCAGATGCAGATGAAGTTTTGCTGCTAAAACCCCTCTTTATCTAGAGGACTAAGATCTGAAAAGACAAGTGATTGTTCTCCACACATGCAACACACAGAGAACCAGCACAGAATAGTTTCAGAAGACTCTTCCATTCCAGAAGGTGGGGAACA